GAGAGAGAGCGAAAGGGGGAGAGGGGGCGAGCGGAGTAGAGGATGAGAGGTGCCAGCGCGGGCCGGGGCAGCCAGCCAGCCTTACTGCCGGTGCCGGGTCGGGCACGGGCGCGCAGGACGCTGGCTCACTTGCCGGCCGCCCCAGGCGGGCAGTCCCACCGTGCAGGGGCTGGTGCTCGCCATGTGCTCTCCGCACACGTGGAGGTGGATGCTGGCACAGGAGCTCCTGGCCTGAGGGGAGAGCGGATGGCCAGGACGGGCCCAAGGTCACTGTGACCTTGGCCACCATGGCGGGCGAGAACCCGGCCGCAGGCTGGCTGACCGACCCGCGGCTCTCCCCTCTGCCAGCGCCAGCACGGTCACACCGGATTAGCCAGGACAACAGATCTGATCCCAGTCTAGTAACTGGGATCCACACCGGGAAAAGCAATTCAGAGGTGGCACTGAAATAGACCCTGAGTGACAGAAACCTCAAGGAAACAAAACGCAGTTCTGAATCTGCGAACACCTTCTGGATCATCATAAAAGGAGTTTACACTTCCTCAGATGACGTGACAGGAATTTAATTCCTAGTGATTTACTGAGATGTTGGTACACACGTTTGTAGGTAGCACAAAACTGCATCATGTCTCAGCCTCAAAGGATTCACAACGGAGAGGAAGAATCAGCCATCCCCGCTGACATCCTCAAAGAGAATTTTAAGCTGTCTTCCAAAAGCACAGAATAAAAATGCTGCCAGAGAGCAGAGTTTGCTCATGGATTGGTCTGCACCTGCATCAATATTCACAGAGCATCAGCTACCACCCAGAAACAGCTCCCTTCATGACATCCTGACTCTGGACTCAACTCCCGACCACGAGAGCAGGCGATCGGATCGTTCCGTCTCCCTCACTGCTGCTGGAAGCTCATCCCTGCTGACACCAGCCTGCCTGAAACCAAATGAAAGGCTCAGATCTTTCCCAGTGCCCATTAGGCTGCAATGCAACCACATCTCCAAAAATGAGCTTTTTAGGCAACACGGATTTTTCCCTTTGTTTGCCATCCTCCAGCGGCTGGGTGCCATTAGAACTTGCCCCAGCCAAGGGCTCTGCGAGGGAAGTCGCCGGTGAAGACTAATGAGAAGGGCTGAGCTGGTCTAATTCTGAAAGGTGATAAGTAATTACTGACTCTCCAAAGCAAAGCTGATGCAAGGCAGTCAGTGTCCAGTACTTCTGAATACAGGAACGAAGTGGTGTTGGAGAGAGACTGAGGAAAATGGGAAGAAGGTGAGGAAAGAAGACGCTTCACTGTGGAAAAGCCCATTGTGAACAGTGCTCAGCGCCCTTTATTCCAGTCAAAATGTATGAGGACTATTGGCTCTCATCTGCACTATCAATTTAGCAACTCTTCCATTTTCCAGATGAATTTTAATTACATTACATGCTATCGATTTCACAGTCACAGAGCGCATCTCTAAGAATTTCCTCTGTGCCACCATTAACCACTTTTATAAATATTAAATATGGAAAACATGCTGGATAAGAAGGGATCAATACACAAAATTAACAAAACTGCTGGCAGTATCAAATATGAGATAAACAACAACAAGCAAACACTAACACTTACTTCACTCAACCCACCAGCACAACTGAATTTTACCTTTACCTTCTAGGAGTAGAGTTCCACACTGCACCCCAAATTCCAGTCTTTCCCTGGCTCCAAGCAAATTACCTTTTCTTTATCTCCATCTCATAAAAAATTTGAGACATTCAAAACCTTCATGGAAGCCTGTCTGTTTTGGTTAAGCAAACAGAGGAGAAGGAGAAATGGAGTTTTTCTCTCCCCTTTTTCCTCTGCACTACAGGAAGAAGGTAAGTGACTTGGTTTAAGCAAAGTTAGCGGCGTTCTCTGGTTTCAGCGGGTGAAGTTCCACACAACCCCAGCCAACAGTAACCCCAGCGCTACACATACCTGGATGTATCGCAAGGCACTCCTTAGGACACTGAGGTTTGAGGTCTTCTTGTCGTCTACGTTGGGGATGTTGCGTTTTAATGTCTCAAAGCATTCTTTCAAGTGTGCACGTCTAAAGAAAGCACAGGTGGTTTGTCAGCTTGTGGGAGCACACACCAGAAACCAATTCAGCAGAGAGCTAGAGCTTAATTTGGGCCTTAATCCAGCAAAGCACTTCCACATGTGCACAGCAGTCACCAGGATGACCTGCATGTCTGCAGCTGAACCAGCTCACTCCAGCAGAAAGGCTGGGGGCTTGTGTGCCTGGGTTCTGGTCCCAGCTTTGTCAGGAAACTATCGTGCAACCTTAAATGAAACATCTCATCTCCCTGGGCTGCTGCTTCCACTTGCAGCTTATTTCCAATTTGGATAGTTAGACTTGTAAGAGTTTTGGATCAGGAACTGGTCTTTATTCTGTACTCACACACTACACTGACCCTGATCCTGGCTCTTTTAGTACTTTAACTCAAAAGGGAAGTTACACGGTTACGCACACGGGGATTTTGCTTTGCAGGATCAGGGCTTCGCAGGGTTATTGGAATGCAATCACACAGGTAAGTAAAACACACGGGGAAGCAGGAGAAGCAGAACTGAGCTATAAGAAAGCAAAGCAATACTGTGAGATTCATGACAAGTCACTAAGAATTTTGTTCAGGTTATTTCTGAAAAAAAAAAACCGCAACCAAACAAAAAGCCGACAAAGCCAAACAAATATTGACAGACTACAGGCCAAAAAAAAAACCAAATCAAAAAAGGAATGGGAATTACAATAAAAACCCAAACCCCTGGCTTTCTACGCACCTGTTCTTCTCCAATTTATTATGTACTTCCCTGGTCCCAACCCTGTAACCCAAACAGAACAAAGATAAACTCAGTGTCAGGTTTAAAACTACTGCCATTCAGCCTGTACCTCAGCAGCGTGTGTGTCTGGGATGAACAGGTAAATACTAAAACGCAACAGAGGTGCTCAGGGATCACTGGTTTACTACCAGCAGCACTTCTATTTCTGCCTGTACTGTATGAAGATAAAACCCACACTTTACCTGCACATCAGATGGGACAAGCATCACGCACACACTGCACAGCAGATCCAAACAGGTATCGTGTGTGTGTACATACAGTCAAACAGGGAAAGACACCAGGTATGGACTGTATGTTTTCACACAGTACTGGAGAGCCCAGATTCTGACCCATTTCTGACCCACGCCTCCACTCCCGTGGGCTGAGATTTATGCAGTTTCAAATTAAAGTGTACAGGACTTGGCAGACACACTTCAAACCTCTTTAGTTTTTTACTGTGCCTGAAATAACACAGCTGAGCATGAATCTGGAATGAAGTAATCCAGGAATCCTCCAGCCACTGCTAAAGGAAGAACCAGGGCGAGGTCCTGGTTTTTGGGGTCCTGGTATGTCCTCACCCTCTGAATCAAAGGAGCACTTTTTGGAAACGCCAATCATATTCATGTTATCTCAGCTTTTCAGCTACAGGGGTGATAAAGTACATTGGGAGACACATGGAGATTTCAAATATCTTCCCTATGCTATGCAAAGTAATTATTTACCTTTGGCTGAAATACACCAACAGTGAGGTGAGCATTCAGGAGGTACCTTATTCTATAACAAACATTCCAGTATTTGAAAACAAATATTTGACAGCCTGTTCCCATGAAACATTTACAAGCTGAAAAACATCTTTTCTGTGCTCATGTCTAAAGGAGCAATTCTGGGGAGACAAAGAGCGTGCACCTTGAGGTGTAACCCATCCAAACACATTTCAGGAGACCTTTGCGACTCCCTCACCATCAGACAGGTATTTTTCTGGTGTGCCTACAACAACAGCTCTAGAAACCCTGCACGGTGAACTGCTCTGATTACGGCACAGACACCGCAGCGATGCTGCACTCGGCACGGGGACAGCAGCCCTCCCAGTCCCCCAGGAGCAGAGCTCGGCGCGATGGCCCAAGAGCAGTTTGCTGGTGCAGCCACAGCCACCCCCCTGCCCGGTGCCAGGACAGCAGCTGCTCGGGCGGCAGAACCCCCCGCAGCCCTCGCCGGTACCCCCATGCCATCAGAAACCCCTCTGCACCCCTCTGAGTCAGTCACAGGTTCGCTTGATTAAAGCTCATCTGTGCAGCTGAGCGCTGTGTGGACAAGCTCTGAAGATCACAATCTGTCTTCGAGGAACTCCACTGGCATTTACAAAGGCCATTATCTTTACAAATTCTTACTTGCGCTGTTTCCTTCTATGCATTTTGGGATCTCTACATCCCAAAGGACACTATGAATCCCTTTTTTGTCCACTACATCTCACATCTCTTCCTACTCCCACAAGATGATACTGAATGTACAACCAGGGAGGTGGTCGGTGCCAATCCACAGCCCCACGCTCGTGCTCCTCACACAACTGGGTTACGTGGTTCTGTGATACAGCTCAGAGCAAACACCGTAAGGACCAGAGGACTTGGGGAAATGGAAGTGAACTGCCAGGTCCTGCCCTTTCGATACACTCACAGATTCTGACCTGGCCAAAATGCTTCTCCCAGGCAGGTCACTCCCTGGGGAAGGGCTGCGCGTTGTCCGTCTGCTGCGGTACTTGTGCGGCTGGGTGAGGGAACGGGAGCGACCGCCCCAGCGTCCAGCCCAGCACGGCAGGCCCCGCCCCAGCCCGCCACCCGCAGCCACAGCGGAGCAGGACAAGGCTGCTGCTGGGACACTGCCCAGCAAGAGGGGCACTCAGCTGGCACTTCATCTACAGGCATCTCCTCTGAACTCCTGACCAGACCCCACCCCTGCCCTCAAACTGGGGTACGTTTGCCTTATTGCACTGAACAGGCGATGCACAGAGAGCAGCTCCGCGCCCGGCCTCCATGGGATTAGCACACCCGCTCACACACCGTGCACAGAGCCATCAGCCAGCTGCACAGTGGGCAGAATGGTCAGAGAGCTGGACAACATGGCCCAGGAGGAAAGGCCAAACAGATCCAAGTCATTTATCCTGCAGGAAGGAAGACTGAGGGGCCAGGGGAAACAGGTAAAAGCTTGCTGCAAAGGAGGGAACGATTTGTTCTCCCAGTCCACAAGAAATAACACCAGACTATGGATTAGGATACTGCAGTCTGGAAACAACTGCCTACGGAGAAGACGGAGTCTCCACCAGCCAAAGTCCTTAAGAACAAGTTAGACAAACACTAACCTGGAGCAACATCAGAGTCACAAGTCCTGTCCGAGGGTGGGGACAGATTAAACATCCTTCAGTCACTTCCAGCTGCAGGAGTTTTGAACAAGCAGGAAGCCCTTAGCACTTGCAGAACTCAAACTGAAACAGCAGCTGAGGTGATCTCTGTCCTGGGAAATACAACCTCCCAGATCACACCCCAGTTTTCAATAAAGTTCCTGCAACCAGCACTGCTGCTCGACTCTCCTGACCAGTATAAGCAGAGCTCTTTTGCCAAACATAACACCAGATGCCACCTGAGATCAGACAGGCAGTGCTGGGACTGGTGTCCTAAGACAGCTCTGGCTTGGAAAAGGAATCCTTGTACAGAATCCTACAGTGTGTAGTGGGGGAAAATAAAAACCATCAAGCTAAGAAACCCTGCTATCAAAAAACCCAACAGACACCCAAACATCCATGGGTCTTGGCATTTCTGATCTGACAACTCTTTGCAAAAGCAGCAGCTGCTCCAGGTAGATGCAGTTTTTGGTATCATTTTGTCTGGTCCCCCTTAGAAGCCTCCACACACAAGGTGCACTCACCCTCCAGGTCTCTTCTTCTGCTCGTTCGGTTTGGTGTCCTCTGCTGGAGCCAGCTTCAGAGCGCCGAGTGGGGGAGCGCCCGGGTGCGGCAGGGGCTGGTGAGGCTGGGGCTGGATGGGCTGCTGGACCACATGGTGCTGGGAGATGGCCAGGACCGGCGCCGCGTAGTGCTGGAGCTGCTTGGGGCTGCCCGACGGGGGGGTAGCAGCTTTCCCGTCTGGCAGAAGCGGGCCCAGCG